TAAAACTCCGGCAAATATTTTTAGTTTCTGATAATACCCCCCCTTAATGGCACAGCAATAAGTCTGCGATCTTATAACGCTAAACACTGGGTTTCGATACCCGTGATGGGCACAGCACAGATAGCCCTCGTGTAGCTTTGCGCGAAATTCAAAAAAACAAATACACAAACAAACAAACCAAGTGTAAACACACGATTTTTTCTGGATGTTCGAAAGGAATTCACGGACTTTATTAAATTTATATTTACTCGCAGTAAAACTGTATATGTAAAAGACCAATGTTCGCGGTTTTTATATTTATTCGAACTAAAGAACATAGGTGTCTCTCTTTACCGTGGAATAATCTCTTCCAACTACGCGCTGTCCAATTTGAAAATAAACAAGTTCAGCTTATCTCCATACGCAGAACCAGGATAACTCGGAGTTCGTGCTGCAACTCCTCCCAGACAAATATAATCGATCAATATCTGACTTCGGCGTTTGAGCCAAAGGCGACCGCGCACGCTGAAACTAGTGATAAGAAGAAAATGGCGACGCATTTGAAAAAAAAAATAAGAAAAAAATCTTGTGTGTTTATGTCCGCCATTACTGCTTTGACGCGTACAGCAGACTGTCAAGTGGTGCCAACTACTGGCTTAGTGTAAAACTTGAAAAAGATGTTGACGCAAAGTTTGATTCGAGTGTATGCTTTTCTTATGGGGTTCCTCTTCGTGCATGAGTGCTTAATCTATATGTAAAGTGATAAAGCTCTGTAGAAATGATAAGTTCAGAAACCGTACAACACTGTATTATGTAGTTTAAAAATACATTCGAAGAAATTATATGTTCGTAGAAACCGTACAACACTGTATTATGTAATTTAAAAATACATTCGAAGAAATTATATGTTCGTAGAAACCGTACAACACTGTATTATGTAATTTAAAAATACATTCGAAGAAATTATATGTTCGCAGAAACCGTACAACACTGTATTATGTAATTTAAAAATACATTCGAAGAAATTATATGTTCGCAGAAACCGTACAACATTGTATTATGTGATCTAATTAAATATTCGAAGAAATTATATTTTAATAGAAACCATACAACATTGTATTATGTGATCTAATTAAATATTCGATAACATTATATTTTAATAGAAACCATACAACATTGTATTATGTGATCTAATTAAATATTCGAAGAAATTATATGTTCATAGAAACCATACAACATTGTATTATGTGATCTAATTAAATATTCGAAGAAATTATATGTTCATAGAAACCGTAAAACATTGTATTATGTAATACAGATAAGCTTTCGAAGAACTATGTTCAGTTGTGATCATAATGTAGAATAGAGTCTTATTAATAAAACTGTCAATTTTTAGATAAACTATGTGAACCACATTTCTTATTCCATTATTTCCGTGTTTTAAATCGAAATCTATTAACATTTGCTGTTCTCTTCACAAAATTTGTTATCATTTATCATTAGGTATTATTGTATTAACATGAAATATTTATCATTAGGTACTGTTGTATTAACATGAAATATTTATCATTAGGTACTGTTGTCTTAATATGAAATATTTATCATTAGGTACTGTTGTTACAACAATACCTAATGATAAATATCTCATGTTAATACAACAATACCTAATGATAAATATCTCATGTTAATACAACAATATCTAATGATAAATATTTCATATTAATACAACAATACCTAATGATAAATATCTCATGTTAATACAACAATATCTAATGATAAATATTTCATGTTAATACAGCAATATCTAATGATAAATATTTCATGTTAATACAACAGTACCTAATGATAAATATTTCATATTAAGACAACAGTACCTAATGATAAATATTTCATATTAATACAACAGTACCTAATGATAAATATTTCATGTTAATCTTAATGATAAATACTTCATGTTAACACAACAATGCCTAATGATAAATATCTCATGTTAATACAACAATATCTAATGATAAATATTTCATGTTAATACAACAGTACCTAATGATAAATATTTCATATATTGTTGTATTAATATGAAATATTTATCATTAGGTACTGTTGTATTAACATGAAATATTTATCATTAGATATTGCTGTATTAACATGAGCGTAGGTATCTACATATTTTATACAATAAAAAATACTTTATTGTTCATTGTGATATTTAATTCTTCGTTAAATGATTAAACCTGTGATTCTATTACCTTGTACTGAACAAAACCAATTTGCTTAAAGTATTGGAAATTATCAGATATTTACACGATAATATGTTAACGTTTTTTACATGGTCAACACCAAGACGTTTGCGAGTAAGACTCACTGATGTTAGCCGTACATACTTATTACAAGTACACAGCTATCAGCTAAAAGTATTAAGTAACATTCGATGTATTTGAATCTTCTTTTTTTTAACCATAAATGTAAAAATTATGCGCAAGGTTCTTTCCTTGTTTGTTTTAGTGTAAAGCTACACAATAGGCTGTCTGTGCTCTTTCAACCGCGGGGAATCGAACACCGGATTATAGCGTTGTAAGTTCATAAATTTACGGCTGATCCAGCAGAGAGAGGAGAGGCTCTTAGTTAGATAGAGGTTGAACTGCACAATGCTAAAGCCCGATGTAACATAAATATTCTGTATCATAGAACAAACCCACGTTTTATCAATGGAAAGAGTATTTATCCACAAAGTATTCTATTGTAGATACACACACACACACATATACACACTAAAACATATGCATACAGATATACACAGAGAGATATGAATCGCATTTTGCTTTCAGTTTCTAAGAAACATTAATGATATGCCAAATTCACTGACAGCAATAAAGCCTTTAAGATTTGAATATGTCTAGTTTTTAAGGAGATATGACAAAATGAACGTTCCAGTGAGAAAAAAAATAAACATGATTTCATTAAACTGATTGCTTTTATCTTCGTATTCCTTATCGCAGTATTACTGGGTTTTATAAAAGGTAACATGCGTGTCTGGCCTTGGGAAGTTTGTTACTTCTGTATCATAGAAACAACGGAATCGGTTGGTTACTAGTTTGAACATCCATACCAATTAGCCTAGAAAACAACGTAACTCGCACTGTTTAAGTAATGTCATAGCGTGAAATCAGTGATAAATTGCCACGCCCATCTTTGTATGTGTTATATTTATAGCTAATTTTTAAAACATTTAGTAATATTATTTATTACTTACCATAGCAACAAAATCGGTTTCGTTAACAAAAAACTATATTTTTGGCTAGTATATATTCTTGTTTATATAATCGGTTTCGTTGATAAAAAAACTATATTTTTTGGCTAGTATATATTCTTGTTTATATAATCGGTTTCGCTAAAAAAATCTATATTTTGGTTATTATATATTCTTGTTATATGAGCGGTTTCGCTGAAAAATCTATATTTTTGGTTATTATATATTCTTCTCATGTAATCGGTTTCGTTTAAAAATCATTATTGCGCTTAATGTATACAAATATTTTGAAATATTTTTTTTAAGGAGAGACAGAAGTTGCTGTAGATGAAAGATCCTTCCCTCAGTCATGACTCTTTGTTGTTCATTCAACCACGCATATTCATTCAGTCATGACTCTTTGTTGTTCATTCAACCAAGCATATTCATTCAGTTATGAAACATAAACGATTTTCATACAAAAAGCAAACGAGACAAAAATCGTGAAAGTTTTTACAAATTCGCTATAAGGTAATGTTACATAATGTTACCTAAACTTGTGTTACATAATGTTACCTAACCTTGTGTTACATAATGTTACCTAAACTTGTGTTACACAATGTTGCCTAAATTAATGTTACATAA